GCAAAAAGGAAAACTATTTCCAGTGTTTGACTAGGTATATCCTTAGTCACAGCTCGCACATAAGAGTTCTCACAACACTGAAGCTGTCTTCCAACAGTAGGAGTTTTAATGATGACTTATCAGTCGGGAGAAATGGGTAGGCCTGTGAATTAGAAGGTCCAGATCCCCAGCACACATCTACTCCCCTCAACCACTCAGCCGAGACTGTTAAGTTAAGAGAATGCGGGAAGTGAAATAAATCGCCCTGCTCCGAGTGAACGCGTGGTTCTCGTCCCGAGGATAGCGAAGTTTTATGGAATCACGACTTCTAAACCGGGACAAACCAACGGATACCTCGTCCTGCTGGAATAAGAACCGTGTCGGTGTAGCAGGACATCGAAATGAGATGGTGAATGGAGGAAATGAGGAGCATCAACCACCCACAGTTAAGTAACCTTTCTAGTTATAGCAGACTGATACTGCCAGTTAAGGTATGTTTTTAAACTGATAGGTTTTATGGGTTGATCCAGCCACATCAAGTGACCACCAAGAATATCTGTAAGTGGTGGGATTATTACAAGTGTTCTTTCCTTGATGGTATATCTCCTGTGTAGACCAACTACCCCCCCCCTTTCATTCAGTTAAACTAATATAATCTATACAGTCCGCAATTAATTAGTAGCGCCGTACTTGAGGGTGCTACCCAATTTATACTGGTCTCGGATAGATATGGATAAGATTGTGAGGGTCGAGGGGCCACCTGCAGTGACCAGAGGTGGTTAAGTTTTCTCACATGTCTACACGGGTGACTACGGTAAACAATATCGTTGTTGTCTCCCAAGGAGATTACTCGTATGCATGTAATGTTGAGGTATGTACAAGTAATCACCGCTATAAAATTTCCATAGATGCTATCATACACATGCTAGAACTAATATATACTGCACTAGAAAAGAAAGAAGTCCCGCTGGGCATTTTCATTGATTTACGTAAAGCTTTTGATACAGTCGACCACGAACTGCTGTACTCCAAATTAACGCACTATGGTATCAGAGGCCACTCCCTCAACTACCTAAAGTTATACCTTAGTAACAGAACTCAATATGTGTATTCAAATGATGCAAATTCTTCCACCCAACCAATCACAGTAGGAGTCCCACAAGGAAGCGTCCTTGGACCACTCCTCTTTCTCATCTACATCAATGATCTACCGAATGCATCACAGCTATTCAAACCCATATTATTTGCTGATGATACATCATACGTCTTCTCCCACCCAAGTGCCGAACTGCAGAAAATATCTGCCTCGATGATGACTAATAAACTTACCCTGAATACAGATAAAACATATTTCATTCAGTTTGGAAACAAAGCTGCAACTCATCCAATTAACATAACGCTAAATGGATCATCAGTCACAAGACTCACAGAGGGAAAATTCCTAGGTATCCACCTTGACAGTAGCCTTAAGTTCCGGACACACATACAACAAATCGCCAAGAAAATCTCCAAGTCTGTAGGTATACTATCAAAGATAAGGTACTACGTTCCACAATCAGCTCTCCTGGCACTGTACCATTCACTCATATACCCTTACCTCACCTACGGAATTTGTGCATGGGGATCAACAACATTCAATCAACTAAAACCCCTAATAACCCAGCAAAAGGCAGCAGTAAGAATGATAAATTCCCACTCCCGCCAGCATACTCCACCAATTTTCAAAAATCTGAATCTGCTCACCATTAAGAACTTCCATACTTATTCATGTGTCTACTACATACACAGAACAATACACCCAAATATGGTATAAACCTTGGTAATAAATACCGACAAGTTGGTTTAGAAAGACACGTAAGCAAACACTATAACATATTTATTAGAAAACGTTTCAGTCCTGGGACCTTGATCACTTCTAACATACAGAGGTAGAAAGACATTATATATATATAGGCGGAGAGTGAGATGTGACGCACGTGACCTGAGGAATGTCATAAGAACATAAGAATGGAGGAACACTGTAGAAGGCCTACTGGCCCATGCGAGGCAGGTCCTTATCAAAACAACCTCTACCTATGATGAGGACGGGTAGACGATGAAATCATGTGACTCCTGTGTTGTTGGGTTGGTGCTGCTTAAGTATCATGTATGCCAATGTTTTTGAAATTTTGTAGTTTCCAGTGTTGCGTTCTATAGTGTCGGTGACGGCGATTAGTGAGGCTTCTAGGCACCGTCGGCCTCAGACGCCGACGGTGCCTAGAAGCCTCACTTATCGCCACCAGGCCCGGTGGCCTGGTGGCTAAAGCTCCCGCTTCACATACGGAGGGCCCTGGTTCGATTCCCGGCGGGTGGAAACATTTCAACACGTTTCCTTACACCTGTTGTCCTGTTCACCTAGCAGCAAATAGGTACCTGGGTGTTAGTCGACTGGTGTAGGTCGCATCCTGGGGGACAAGATTAAGGACCCCAATGGAAATAAGTTAGACAGTCCTCGATGACGCACTGACTTTCTTGGGTTATCCTGGGTGGCTAACCCCCCGGGGTTAAAAATCCGAACGAAATCTTATCTTATCTTATCTTACAGTGTTCCTCCATTATGTTCTTATGACATTCCTCAGGTCACGTGCGTCACATCTCACTCTCCGCCTATATATATAATGTCTTTCTACCTCTGTATGTTAGAAGTGATCAAGGTCCCAGGACCGAAACGTTTTCTAATAAATATGTTATAGTGTTTGCTTACGTGTCTTTCCACACCCAAATATAACCCCCCCCACTCAAACTTCTCCTCACCAACCTAAACAGGACCCATGACCACAACACAAGACACAGATCTCTTTTTTGATATACCTCGTGTCCATATCACACTGTGTAAAAACTCTATGCACATAAAGGGCCCCAAAATATGGAATTCATTACCAGAAGATACTCAAGTAACCCAGTCTGAAAATCAATTTAAGACTCTTCTCAAAAGCCACTTAATCACCCTAGACTAAAGGCTCAATACTCAGTACACATATACTCACTTATGTTATTCCCACATCATAATTTCAACAATAGATTCACTTATAATTAATAATCTACTGTACAACTATGATATAATTAATATTCTACTGTACAACTATGACATAATCCTTAGTATTAAGTAGACTGTAAGCCAGTAATGTTAAGTTGGCCCATAATGCCGAGGCATAATAGAGGCTCTCTTTGCATTGCAACCCATTATTGTAAATATAAAATCTCAATGTACTATTTTCAAAGACATAAATAAATAAATAAATAGATAAATAAATAAATAAGTAAATAAATAAATTATATAAGTTAAGAGCCTTCGGTGAAGGCATAGAATCAGTAATGATAATAGAGTCAAGCTCAGTGTCATAAGTTAGCTTTAGCGCCATTAGTAGGCAAAATATTATTATCATGTAAACCCATTCTCTTTGCTGACGACACGACTTAAATCATCTCTCACCCTAATCTTGCCACCCTCAACACCATTGTTAACGAGGAGCTGATCAAAATATCGACCTGAATGACAGCCAATAAACTTACGCTTAACACTGACAAAACCTAGTATATTATGTTTGGTAGCAGAGCAGGAGTTGCGCAAATTAACATTAAGATCGACAACACTAATTATCAGACAAAATGAGGGCAAATTCCTAGGCCTATACCTTGACAACAACCTGAATTTCAGCACCCATATCCAACACATAACCAAAAAAGTATCCAAAACAGTTGGGATCCTCTCCAAGATACGATACTATGTGCCGCAAAATGCCCTTCTCGCACTATACCACTCACTTATTTATCCATACCTCACCTATGCTATCTGTGCTTGGGGTTCAACTGCAGCAACACACCTAAAGCCAATAATAACCCAACAAAAAGCCACAGTAAGAATAATCACTAAATCCCATCCCTGGCAACACCTCCCCCCCACTCTTCATAGATCTAAACTTACTCCCTGTTCAGTACATCCACACTTACTACTGTGCAATCTACATCTACAGGACCTTAAATTCCAATATTAACCTTGACCTAAAACGCTTTCTTGATAGTTGTGACAGAACCCACAGGCATAACACCAGACACAAACATCTCTATGACATTCCCCGTGTCCGACTAAACCTTTACAAAAATTCAATGTATGTCAAAGGCCCTAAAATCTGGAACACCCTACTTGAAAACTCTAGAACTGCAGACACATTCATCACCTTCAAAACTACCATTAGAAAACATCTTATCTCCCTGATACACCCTGTCAACTAACTACACGAATACCACCTGGTGGTTCACACTTACACTCACTCACCCATTTGACCATAAACAGAAATATTAATCTCAATCTTAAAATAAAGAATCTTAACTAGTCATAAGTTGGCCTGTGATACTCCAATACTGAAACTCTGTACTATGCCAAAACAAAAGCATTCACATTGCTAAACTCACAAACTAGTATTTAGTCACTTAGCCATAATACCAACTTACCTCATAATTTGTAATGTTTTGAAATTAAGAATTAAACTAAGTCTGCCCGAAATGCCTAGCCATGCTAGGCGTTCTAGTGGTACACTCTGTAATTATTATTTTAATACATGTAAACTACACAATAACCAAATTCTGTAAACTCAGCATTGTAATACTTATAGAGAATAAACTTTGAATTTGAATTTGAATTGTAAACACTAGTGCTGAGGAAAGTTTGGAGGATCCACTGGGAAGTTGTGGGTGACACTGTAAGTTGTTAGTGTCCCATACAACCCTAACAAGCAGCAGCAGTGTGGTGCAGCACAGTGTGGTGCAGCAGCAGTGTGGTGCAGCACAGTGTGGTGCAGCACAGTGTGGTGAGCAGCACAGTGTGTGACAGTGGTGCAGCAGTAGCAGATGTGGTGCAGCAGCACATGTGGTCAGCGCAGTGTGGTGTAGCAGTAGCAGTGTGGTGCAGCAGCAGCAGCAGTGTGGTGTAGCAGTAGCAGTGTGGTGGTACAGCAGTGTGGTGCAGCAGCAGCAGCAGCAGCAACAGTGTGTGCAGCAGCAGCAGCAGCAGCAACAGTGTGGTGCAGCAGCAGCAGCGTGGTGCAGCTGCAGGTTTACAACCTCAAGTTAACTTCACTTACCTTGAAGAAGGAACTTGTCTGTTAGACATTTGAGTTACTGCACTAAAGACAATTATTGTTGCACAATGAAGCCACCATACTTCCAGGAGAGAAGTTTACCTCACAGAGTAAATAAGGTGAGAACATATGAACCTCTTAACGTGTTCAACTGTGCAATAATATTGCAAGAATTACCCATAATATGTTAGGTAAAAGGACACACGTGCAACTTATGTGACATTTTAGACCCGGTGGCCTGGTGGCTAAAGCTCTCGCTTCACACACGGAGGGTCCGGGTTCGATTCCCAGCGGGTGGAAACATTTCAACACGTTTCCTTACACCTGTTGTCCTGTTCACCTAGCAGCAAATAGGTACTTGGGTGTTAGTCGACTGGTGTGGGTCGCATCCTGGGGGACAAGATTAAGGACCCCAATGGAAATAAGTTAGACAGTCCTCGATGACGCACTGACTTTCTTGGGTTATCCTGGGTGGCTAACCCTCCGGGGTTAAAAATCTGAACGAAATCTTATCTTATCTTATCTTATCTTAACGTTTCACTCTCTGAGAGCTTTATTAAGCCAGTAAAAATGATGTAAAGACACAGAGGCTATATAGAGGTAACAGCGTGAAGTAAGAGAGCATAAATAAAGTAGTAGGCCTACTGGCCCATGTTATATATAGTACTAGCAGCAGTGGAGGTAACTCTTGGTTACTATGTGAAGGTTACTTGTGTTGTTTGGAGGAGAACTCTTGCTTATACCTCAGAGATGGTGAAGCTGCCTTTGTTAGCTTTAATGGTGTTTGAAATGACAATTAAATATGATTCAAACATTTATGTCTGGAAATTTGGCAAATGCTCTCGCTTCACATGGTGAGTGTCCGGGTTCAGTTCCCAGCGAGGGTGGAAACATTGGATGCGTTTCCTTATACAGGTTGTCTATGTTCGCCCATCAGTAAAATGGGTACCTGGGTGTTAATCGATTGGCGTGGGTTGCATCCTGGGACAAAACTGACCTGATTTTCCTGAAATACTCTGCATAACAAGCGGCTTTCTGTATATTAGTATGTCATTGATGTCGGCTAGGACTCTATATCTTGTACATGTAATTGCAGAAATGAAGATATTTTAATTATTATTATTATTATTATTATTATATTATTATTATTATTATAGGTGGGCATCACTGATTTATATTAAATGGTTGGTGGAGTTCCTGTGTTGTACTCGTGCACAATAAAAATGAGCCCCTCTAGTTTTTTTGGGTTATCCCAGGTAATTCACACATGTTATTGTGTATGATAATTGTCATCACCTGAACTTGTGTAACTGTACCTATGTGTAACTATAGCTAAATGAACTTAGTTATTTGTTCAAGTTGCTTCTTCCTAGTAGGTTTAGCACTTCTTTTTTTATTATAATAATGATTCTACATGCAGTGATGTATTTATTGAGACATGTTGATAAAATAAGATTTTGTTTGGGTTTTTAACTCCAGAGGGTTAGCCACCCAGGATAACCCAAGAAAGTCGGTTTGTTGTCAAGGACTGTCTATCTAATTTTCATTGTGGTCCACAGTCTTGTCACCCAGGATGTGACCCACACCAAATGATTAACACCCAGGTTTCTACCCTTGCTGGGATAGAGCCATATACACTGTGTGCGAAGTGAGTGTGTTGCCTACTAGGCCACGGACCACCTTGTGTTGCTTCACCATGTATACTTTGTCACAACCTCTGTAAGGGATTGTACAAACACCTTCATTAAGCTGGTACTGGCCAGGACTTTGATGGATGTGCTAGTTGTAATAGTGACTCTATTGTTGGCTTCTGCAATTACATTTAAAATGTTCAAGGCAACCTTGCTCTTGGGAAGATTATAACTTTGTTTATAGTGGTGTTAGTGCATGGAGAATTAATGATTTTGGGGATTTTTCCTTGCTGTCCTTGAAACACTTCTCAGTGTATGCATTAATGCATGCAGAAAGGCAACTTGAACAGTGCATGTGTACATCGCAGGAACTCCAACCATTTAATGAGATTCAGTGACACCTGCATCATGATCAAAGATATGATGCTTTCCAGGGCATAGTTCTAGCTGCTCAGTCAAATTATGTTCCAAATAGGGAAATCAGATCACACAAAAATGATCCTAAATGGATGAACAATAGATTAAAATATCTAATTGGTCAAAAGAGAGGCATATATAGGCAAATCAAAAGAGGAGAGGGGCAATTAAGAAATCGATATATTTAGTTAAAGAGAGAAATAAAAAAGGGAATTAGAAAAGCAAAAAGAGATTATGAGGTTAAAGTTGCAAGAGAATCTAAGACTAACCCAAAAGGATTCTTTCAGGTATACAGAAGTAAGGTCAGGGACAAGATAGGCCCACTCAAAAGTTCCTCGGGTCAGCTCACTGACAGTGATAAGGAAATGTGTAGAATTTTTAACACATACTTCCTCTCAGTTTTTACACAGGAGGATACCAGCGATATTCCAGAAATGATAAATTATGTAGAACAGGACGATAAACTGTGCACGATTAGGGTCACAAGTGACATGGTCCTTAGGCAAATAGATAAGTTAAAACCTAACAAATCCCCAGGTCCTGATGAACTGTATGCAAGGGTTCTAAAGGAATGTAAAGAGGAGCTTAGCAAACCTTTGGCTAATCTTTTCAACATATCACTACAAACTGGCATGGTGCCAGATAAGTGGAAAATGGCAAATGTGATACCTATTTTCAAAGCAGGTGACAGGCCCTTAGCTTCGAACTATAGACCAATAAGCCCAACCTCCATAGTGGGAAAATTTATGGAATCAATAATTGCTGAGGCAGTTCGTAGCCACCTTGAAAAGCATAAATTAATCAACGAATCTCAGCATGGTTTTACAAAGGGGCGTTCCTGCCTTACGAATTTATTAACTTTTTTCACTAGGGTATTTGAGGAGGTAGATCATGGTAATGAATATGATATTGTGTATATGGACTTCAGTAAGTCTTTTGACAGGGTCCCACATCAGAGACTATTGAGGAAAATTAAGGGACATGGAATAGGAGGAGAAATTTTTTCCTGGATAGAGGCATGGTTGACAAATAGGCAGCAGAGAGTTTGCATAAATGGGGAGAAATCAGAGTGAGGAAGCGTAACGAGCGGTGTTCCACAGGGGTCAGCGTTGGGCCCCCTGCTGTTCACAATCTACATAAACGACATAGATGAGGGCATAAAGAGCAACATCAGCAAGTTTGCTGATGACACCAAAATAGGCCGTCGAATTCATTCTGACGAGGACATTAGAGCACTCCAGGAAGATTTGAGTAGACTGATGCAGTGGTCGGAGAGGTGGCAGATGCAGTTAAAAAAAGACAAATGCAAAGTTCTAAATGTTGGACAGGGCAGTAACCATGCCACATATAAACTAAATAATGTAGATCTTAATATTATGGATTACGAAAAAGATTTAGGAGTTCTGGTTAGCAGTAATCTGAAACCAAGACAACATTGCATAAGTGTTCACAATAAAGCTAATACACGTAGAATCCTTGGCTTCGTATCAAGAAGCATAAATAATATTAGTCCTCAGGTTGTTCTTCAACTCTATACATCCTTGGTTAGGCCTCATTTAGATTATGCTGCACAGTTTTGGTCACTGTATTACAGAATGGATATAAATGCTCTGGAAAATGTACAAAGGAGGATGACAAAGTTGATCCCATGTATCAGAAACCTTCCCTATGAGGATAGACTAAGGGCCCTGAATCTGCACTCTCTAGAAAGACGTAAAATTAGGGGGGATATGATTGAGGTGTATAAATGGAAGACAGGAGTAAATAAAGGGGATGTAAATAGTGTGCTGAAAATATCTAGCCTAGACAGGACTCGCAGCAATGGTTTTAAGTTGGAAAAATTCAGATTCAGGAAGGATATAAGAAAGTACTGGTTTGGTAATAGAGTTGTGGATGAGTGGAACAAACTCCCAAGTACAGTTATAGAGGCCAGAACGTTGTGTAGCTTTTAAAAATAGGTTGGATAAATACATGGGGTGTGGGTGGGTGCGAGTTGGACCTGATTAGCTTGTGCTACCAGGTCGGTTGCCGTGTTCCTCCCTTAAGCCAATGTGACCTGACCTGACTAGGTTGGGTGCATTGGCTTGAGCTGGTAGGAGATTTGGACCTGCCTCGCATGGGCCAGTAGGCCTGCTGCAGTGTTCCTTCGTTCTTACGTTCTTATAAATTCCTTCAATGTCTTGAATCATCCTTAATTACCATTTCAGACACCATTAAGCAGAATAAAACAAGTTCATCATATCTGAAGTGTTAACAAGAGTTCTCAACAAAATAAACCCTGCCATCACACAGCAATCAAGAGTTACCTCCACCACCACCACTACTATGTACTACTACTACAACTACTACTATCTACAACATGGGCCAGTAGGCCTGCTACAGTGCTTATGCTTTCTTACCTCACATTGCTACCTATATATACCTCTGTAGTTTTGTATTGGCTTGACAAAGCTCTCAGAAAGCAAAACTTGGCCACAATAAAATGTCACAAGAGTTGCACATTTTTACAAGGAAAAAATTATATTGCACTATTATAAGCACTTAACATTTCATTTAAAACTAAAATTTGTCAGCATCAATTTTTCTATACCTTATACAGTATACCCCTGGTTATTGGCCATAATCCGTTCCAGAAGGTCGGCCGAAAACCGAATTAATATTTCCCATAAGAATTAATGGAAATACAATTAATCCGTTCCAGACAAAAATATTCACAAAAAAATAATTTTTTTAACAATTATGTAAGTATTACATACCTTTATTGAAGGCTAATGCTGGCTTCTGGAAGATAGGGAAGAGGAAAGAGGGAGGAGTTAGTGTTTGGATGCGGAATCCTGCTCCATAAAGACTTTAGGTAGCAAAGCCTTCTCTGGGGTTACTTAACTTCTTTGTCTTTTAATGAAACTAGGACCAGCTTGAGTCACTGGACCCCTGTCTCACAAAATAACTGTCCAGAGTGCTCTGTTTCTGGCGTCTCTTTAACCTTTTCAGGGTCGGCAGGCCCTCTCCCAAACCTGTTCTCAGGGTCAGTAAAAATTCGAAAAAAAAAAAATATTTTTTTCTTATGAAAA